TATGAGCTGGCTGAGTGGACATCATGAATTTGCTTGGGCTGCAGCGTGGATGAGTGGATGGTTTTGGGTTCTACACATGGAGTTTGGGTTAGGGCTGGGGTGGGGTGCAGGGTTTTGGGGCTAGCTGGCTTCAGGCGTTTTGTACAGGGACAAGTGTAGTCGTGTAATGTTGTTGAGGTTTCGGGGATACGGCTTGTGGGCTTCTGCCCGTGCTATGGGATAGAAACTATGGGTATCTAGCTGCAATAATCTGCGTAGATTAGCTGCACTATACGTCCCTCGATTTAAGTTGCTCAGTTGAGGAGCCGCGGGTGGCAAATGGCATCGCAACTGCACCGAGTACCTGACATAGACAGATCCCGAAAATGATTGGCCTGGAGGGCTGTTATCTCCTAACTCCCCAAGCTAACCCTCTGCCTGGTTGATATTTCCCATGTCTTCGTGGTCTTACGGATGCAGCGATTGGGATACCTGGACGATAAGAGCTTCCAAACCGTCACTTACGGGATCATAGGACTGACAGTAGTAAGCGGGGGTACACTTATTGTTACGTAAAAGTTCGAAGAAGGTACGTATAGCCCTACCCATAGGCTCCGTTGTAGTTCCATTAAAAAACAGAACTACAATGGAGCCTCTGGGTGCTGACTAAGTCACCGGATCTCTTAAGTGAGCGATGCGATCAGTGACGGCTGTGCCTCTCTGCAGTGGGAGCCCACCAGAGAAGTTGGCGCCACATGACCGTTTCAGAAGCCAGCGGTACCTTGTTCAATTATCCTTGGAAGACGGTTTTGTTTATTCGGGGTTTCAGTCGAGTCCCTTGCTGTCGAAATTATGAAGAGAAGATACGAGAAGCTTCAGAACGGTTGATTGGTGCCTAAACCCTGTAACACTAACCTCTACCGACCCGTTCAACCAGCTGTAGATCCGTACCTTTTCGTGGTAGGGTTGGGTTTGGGATCAGGGCCCTGTAATTGCTGCAAGACTGAGAATAAGTACCCTCGCTGGATTTTGTAACGGGTTCCGTTGGCCGACGTTTCAAAGGCCAAAGTCTCTAGTCAGTGGGCTGCAGGAATTATAGATTCAAGGTCCAGGTTTTCTTGGTCAGTTTTCAGACAATAATTGGGGGTTTCCGAAAATGGGGGACCCTAATATAGTACCCTAAATAGTAGGATCCTTATTATAAGGACCCCAAAATAAGGTACCCCTAATTTCGGAAACTCCCAAATTACTAAACCTGAACACCTGTCAGTCCCTCCGACGCGGCCCGATCTTGTGATAAAACGGTTTAGGGTGTAGGGGTTTAGGGGCAAAAGGGTTTATAGGTATCTGTTGCTTTAGGGTCACAAGGCTACGGCTCTATAGAATCGGCCATATCAACTTAACTTCTGAACTTCATCCCCAGCTCCAGCCCCGAACGCGAAACTCTGGCCTTTGCATACTTCCGGTGTCAGGCCGCGGCATGCGCGTGCTGTCCTTTGTCCCCCTTGAGGGCCTTTCGACACAGCCCTTGAAGAAGGACAGGCGACAATAACAAGTCAAACCCTACAGACTGAGACACTTGGTCACTGGGTGACTGGCTGTGTCGAACCTGACTTGGTAATCGTTTTGATTCAAAGCATGGGTCAGCGCTCAATGATCAAAGGCTTCCTGAAACAAGTTTGATGATAGAATCTTTGTTTTGTAGTGGGTTGAATCTCACATAATGGACATGTTAAGCCCGACTCCCTGCACCAACAAAAGCCCTGTAAACCGGTTACTCTAGCGGGTTTTGGCGGGTTCCCCTGTCGCTGCGCTTGAGACAATTGCCTCGGCAAGTAAGCATCTTGGGACTTATGTTACTAGGTAGGTATGTATGCATATACATATATGGGTAGTTGTCAAAATTATGGTCCCTTTTGGGGTACCCTAAATAATAGGTGCCGTATTATAATAAGGACCCAAACAGGGACCATAATTTAGACAACCACCCACATATATATATATATGTTCATATACACAGAACTTCTCCTACCGTAGCCTCGAAAAGCGGCGAGGCACATGCAGAGGTCGTGCGGGTCAATGGGAGGGGGGCAGCATTTATATATGCACATACATACACGCATTCACAGGTATGGATGTACATAAGCAAAGACATAGACAAGTACATATATATATATATATACACATTGACATCAGTGCAAACATGCCCACATTCATACACATATACATATCCATATAGACATGGGCATTATGTCATGTGTATATATGCATACATGTAACACATATCTATATATATATATATATACATATGCATGTAGTGTATACGTTACAGAAGCTTGTTTGTGTACAACTATGTACATGATTCTGAACGTGTGTACATACGTGGATGTTTGTGAACGTGGGTACTTTCAGGTAGAAGTCATAGGCGCAGCAGTAGCCGTCGTTGTCGTATTGTTAGTCGTAGTAGTGGAAGTGGCAGTGGCAGTGGTATTTGTTGAATCGTTGTAGTGTGGTAGTGGTAGTGGTATTCGTAGTAGTCGTCCTCGTGGTAGCAAAAGTAGTAACCAGACGAAGCATACAAAACGAGCAGCAACTTCCTCCTGCGACATCCCTGCTGAAATGGCTGGCTCAAGGCAAAACATTCTGTCACACCATGCGTTGATTAGCCTCAAGGTTGCAACCCTGCCATCATGCCGAGATGCTGAACGTCTGGAATCTCTCTGGAGAAATAGTGACGAGTATACCTGTGGAGGAGCTGGAGAAGCTCGGCACTGTGAGGGGCTTGAAGCAGCACTTGTATCAGCTGCACGGTCTAGCCCGGTTTCGTCAGAGGTTGCTCGTTCATGGCGAGACTTTAGAGGAGACGGCAATGCTGCATGCACCCATGGACCTGTATTTAGTTGTCTTGCCGTTTGCGGACGTCTCCGAGTTGGAGGCAGACGACCTAGTAGAAGCTGCTTGGCGGGGCTCCATGGCCGAAGTTGAGTCCATGCTGCAGCTGCCCCAAGACCCGGATTTGCGTAACCATAGAGAGCGCACAGCTTTGATGAGTGCATGCGACGCAGGTCACGTCGAGATCGTCCGCTTGCTGATCGAGGCCGGTGCCAACAAGGAAGCGACGCACGACGGGTACACGGCTTTGATGTTTCCATCCGAAGATGGAAATGTCGAGATCGTCCGCTTGCTGCTGGAGGCCGGCGCGGACCCGGAAGCAGGAGATCCCGACAATTGCACGTCCTTGATTCGGGCATCCGACAAAGGTTATGCCGAGATTGTCCACTTGTTGCTGGAAGCCCAAGCCAATGTGGACCGGGCAGACAACAAAGGCCGCACGGCTTTGATGAGGGCATCCAGCGCTGGCCATTTCGATATTGTCCGCCTGCTGCTGGAGGCCGGCGCCAACAAGGATGCGTCAGATGAATGTGGGTACACCGCTTTGATGAGCACATGCTGCGCAGGTGACGTCGAGATCGTCCGCTTGCTGCTGAAGGCCGGCGCTAACACAGATGTTGCAGACAACTGCGGGTACACGGCTTTGATGGGTCCATCCGGCACAGGCCATGTCGAGATCGTGCGCTTGCTGCTGCAGGCCGGCGCTAACAAGGATGTGGCGGACGACACCGGATGCACATCTTTAATGCGGGCATCCCGCCACGGTCATGTCAATGTCGTTCGCCTGCTGCTTGAGAATGGCACCAAACACGATTTGGCAGACAACTACGGGTACACGGCTGTGATGAGGGCATCCGGAAATGGTCATGCTGAGATTGTTCGTCTGCTGCTCGCTCAAAAGCAGCCTTGACGTGTTGCCTCTGTTTGCCGGTGATGTTGAGATTGATCTCTTGATGCTTTCTTTTTGTGTTGTCGTAAGCAATGCACATAGACATAGTTCAGCATAGCACTGGTGCAGGGTGTCTTGGGCTCAATTGGCAGGTGGTAGCGTGCCTATTGTCGCAAACACAGCAGAGTAACAACAATACGCATGCGAAGTTGCAAAGGCAAAGCTAAAGCAGCTAAAGCATGTGCCTGTGGTTTCAATGTTTCGGCGAGGAGGAGCAGACGCCGCAAGAGACGACAGAGAAGCTGAAGCCAGAGGAGGATTGGTTCGAAAGGGCTGTTGCAGTAGCTTGGGGAATCAGCGGCTCACCCCAAGACTCGAATGAGTCTACACACACACCCACACCCGCCGCCGTGCTAGCGAACGCAGCGGAGTATAATATAGGGGCCTTAATTTTTAGAATAGGGTTTGGGCAATATTATCATTATATATAGTTACAAGAAGGAACCCCCACAACCCTGTTCTAATTCTTAAGGCCCCTACATTGGCTTCCGCCGTTGTTTCAGGGGGCTGTAACAGTCGAAAGTCGGAGGCTGAGTTCGCCAAGGAGTTTCATTTCAAAACTGGGCCCCTCCCTAAACCCTAAACCCTAATATGGACCCTTAGGCCTCTCTCTGGGGACTTTTGAGCGTACATAGAGGGTATACCCTGAAACTCCGCTGTGAATCGGCTGAGTCCATGGAGAGCCTGAAGCAGGGTTTAGGGAGGTTAGGGTTTAGGGAAATGAGTGTGCTCTTGCCTTAAGAGGGGTTGAGGGTTGCATAGGCGCTGGCCGGCACCTCAGTCCGTGCTGAGAAGAGTTCATTTCCGATAGGAAATTTTGTGAGAATGCAGAATTCGGCTCGCCTACGGGGAAACGGAGTCGGTTACGCATTGCCTCCCAAGGGTGGACGCCGAAGGTCCACACGCTTCGAACCGCCGCCAGTGTATCCCAACATACCAACCATCTCTAGCTTCTAGATAAGATAGTCTTGCCACAGGAGATGGGCGTCGTGCGAGGGGCATCGAAGTGGAAGAAGGGGCGGCCCCTCTTTGAGCATGGCAACTACAGCAGCCCCTCTCTGAGAAAGGTTAGGTTTTAGGGTTTCATGAAATTACAGATGTCAGAGTTTGACCGACGTCCCAGCTGAGCATGATCAGAGTCTGGGTCCAAAAATGGTTTCATGAAGTGGGCCGCAGGATATTAACCCGAAGCCCTAAACAATCCTGAGCCTTAAACCCTTCGGAACCCCAGACCCCGAAATCCCAAGCCCTACGCCGAAGGCGAAGGAGGTACATAGAGCAACTGATGCTTTACTCGGCATCCGGATACCAATAAGAGCTCTCATCTTCAACAAACCAAAAGCCCGACTGTTTGAACGCACACTGTTGGCGTTAAAGCTTTGCTAGGCTATTACGGGTACCGCCACGCTCCTGGGCAGCGGGGAGACAGCGACCGAAGACTTTTGGATCTTACGGAGAGGCATGGAGCATTGCTTACTCACTTTCTGCCAAGAAATAAACAAACCTGTTGTGGCCGTTCCAGAATTCTCTTACGACCCGTTACGCGTTTTGCTCGTTCTAGACCCTCCTTGTGTCATCCAAGTGGCTCAGTGCGGGGATTGCTGTTCATGACTTGCGTGCGTTCGCCTCCGATAGAATCTGGTCTCCTTGCCACCAATCCATACCCATAGGCTCCATCGTAGTTGCTAGGGTCCGAAATATCAACCACAAAAAGGGACTACATTGGAGCCTATAGGTACATCCATTCTCAATCATGCCAGGGCCCATTTCTTACAATCAATCTTCCACGGACACCGGAGTTTCCTTGGACCCGGCGCCGCCCAAAGCCCAAAGCCTTGAAGCCTGAATCCCCAAAGATTCCAATATCCCTTAATTAAGGAATATACCTTAAATTATAGTAGGATCCCCAATATGATTTAAGGTATTTTGCTTAAGTAAGGGCTATTGGAGTCTCTGAATCCCCTTTAGCCCGAAGGCTTCAAGCCATCAGGCCCGTCAGTCGTTGACTGCGGACCTGCAAGTGCATCACGAGACCTTCACAAGCTACACTGGGTACACAAACTCCTGGCTACAGACCTGAAACAAAGACACGTCCCTAAACCCTAAACCCTAAACCCTAAGACGCGTGCAAGAATTCGCTCAAGCCCCTAGACCCCAAGCCCTTGACTGGCTGTGATGACACATTGTGGGGGGCTTTTGGAATTTAGGGACTTTCTGGCTATATGGGGTAAAAGCCGTAAAAGCATATTCCGTGGATTGGGTGTTGGGATCCAACTTCCTGCCAAGGTCCTACACATTGAGACAGAAAGTGGGGGCTTTTGGACTTTAGGGACTTTCTGGTTATACAGGTAAAAGCCGTAAAAGCATATTCCGTTGATTGAGTTTTGGGATTCAACTTCCTGCCAAGGTCCTTCCCAATTGACTTTCTTTGGGTTTCTTCCTGCACGCGCTTTGTAATCAGGGGGGGACCTTTTGGACATGGACATAGGCTTCCGAACTGCTTGCGTGCAACCCTAACCTATCAACTCCAATCGTGCCGACTCTACACCCGGGACAGGTTCGGGAAGAGCTTCTTCAAAAAGAAAGAAGTCCTTGACATCGGATGAACCCTGTGCTAAATTCAGGGGCCTCAAAAGGTGGGATGAAGGTGTTAGGATGAAGGATCCCTTGTAGAAGGGCTCTCAATTGGAGGATCATCCCACCCCTAAACCCTGAACCCCTACCTTCATCCCACCTTTGCAGCGGCAGGTTGCACCGTTTCTTTGGTTTAGGGTTCAGTCAAGGCACCGAATTTTGATGTCGTGGCTTCGTGATGCTTGAGCTTGCAGCCGTTTGACTACTCTCCGAGTGAGCTCTTGCAAATTGACTCAGCAGGGTTTAGGGTATGATTTGTACATCAGCTGAGTACGCAGTGCTAACATTCAACTACAATCAACAGTCTGGCCATTTTTGAGAACCAGGAACATCCGTTTGTAGGACGGATGGTCAAGTCATCGAGGTTCACAATTCGGGCCTAAAGGTTATGCGCAAATTAGATTAGCCCCTACACCCTGAACCTGCGCCAAACCCGAAAACATGCCCAAACCCCAAACCATTCCGTGTGCCTATCCCAAATACTACCATCAACCGCTCACATCCCCAAACCCCACACCCAGATATTCGTATACCGTACATCCTACCCTGGACCCTGAACCCAAACTCCAAAGCCCTACCCCAAATCCTAAACTCCGAGCCCGTAGGCCCCGAGCCCAGAACCTTAAATCTACACATCACGTAATGATTCACGAACTCTAAACCCCGTGCTTGCTAAGTGGGAGGCAAAAAATCCTAAGGCCCCTACGCACTGAACCCAGAACCCCAGATCTGAATGTAACTTTGGATAGCAAGCTCGGACGTCTTGTAGCCATGCCTGCTCTGCGAGTGTGTGAGTCGAATCTGACCCTAAACCCTAAACCCTAAACCCCTAAACCCTAAACCCTAAACCCCTAAACCAAACCCTAATCTGAAGGTAATGCTGGCCTGGTATCCTTGGCCGTGGCCCGCGAGTTTCAAGCCCGGAGGGTGGCTGCTTGTCCGTCAACTCATAAGCACTTCGAGGCTTTAGGGTTTATTTAGGGTTTAGGGTTTGGGGTTTAGGGTTCTTATAGGACTTCGAGCTTTTGGGTTTGGGGGTTAGGATTTTTTAGAAGACTTCGAGGTTTTGGGGTTTTGGGTCTAGGATTTAGGCATGTAAGGTCTATACGAATCGGGGGTTGTAAGGAAAATTATGAGAAGTCGAGGTGTTGGGGTTTAGGGTATAGGATTTAAGAGCTGGGGTTTAGGGTTTAGGTTGCCTTTAACGTAGGGCATGCCAGACTGTAACTTGAACGTTTCTTGTAAGGGCGCCTGCGAGGCTTCTTGTCAGGGGCTCGAGAAAGCTACTTTATCTGGGTTCTTGTTAAGGGATTTAATGTAAGTTACCATAATAGGGATCTATAGTAAATAATATGGTTTCCTTATTATGGTAACTTAAATTAAATCCCTCAACAAGAACCCAGTTATGGTCTGCGGGCTTAGGGTCTTGTGTAAGGGCTTGCCTAGACACAGCAGAGCTCTGATGAAAGGGGCCGGCCTACAATAGTTAGCGGTCTTCTGACGATGATTTCCGCATGCCTAGCCCTAACCCCCCTTAAAGGGGGGAACTAGAGCCCCCCAAGGCCCTTTTTAGTCGGTACCTGGAGGGTTAGGGCTAGGACCCAAAAGGGACCCCAATTTGGAGAACTACCCATATATAAGTAACAGGCAAGAGGCATAAGTAGCATTCTCGCTTGCATCCTTACTTGGTGACTTAGGTTACATGCCTTTTCAGCGTTTCAAAAACCCAAGAACCCGAAATCCGAAAAGCTGTTGAATAATCCCAAAGTGGGGAGGTTGAAGCGTTTAGACATATGCAAAAACCAAGTTTGGGAGCCTGTTATGCCCCACCCTGAGCCCGGGAGTTGGAAGGTTGGGATGGACTTGGATGCTGATCTCATCGAAGCTGCCGAAGCCAATTATTCATGCGAGATGGACAAACTGAAAGGTGGGGATAGTTCTACGGTCGCCTGCAGATCCCAGCATTCCTGAAAGCTAATCAGGAGGCCCGTCCAAGACTCCACCAAAACCAAATGCCTATACATAAGCCCCAAACCCCGTCACTAGCTTGTAATCAGTGAAGGGGCTGTCAGCATGATGCAAAGTATCTTCGCGGAAGTAAGTTGCTCTTGGCATTTGAGTCCTTGCAGCGTGTGTTCTTCAAGGTGCCAAGGCTCCTGCTTGGAGTGTATCTTGCAGTCGCTGTGTTGTTGATCATCTTGCACTCATCAACCTGAAGGTTCTTGAAACACAAATCTTGTCATTGCTATGAATTCTGTATCACTGCCATACTGATGATGCTACGAGTCGCTCGCGCTACTACAGACCCTAAGCCCCGGTGAGCATGATCATACACAGTTCTTCTTTCGTACCTTCGGACAGGGCCACGTCACTGAGTCGTGAGCTTCTGCCTTGGGACTAGCTCGGTGTAGGGCTTTAGGGGTAGAGTCGTTGCAGGCCAGTTGCTTAGGGGGTTAGGATGCAGGGTTTAGGGTTATTAGTGGTTGTGACTGGTTATTAATAGTTCATGGGGCTTAGGGGATACAGGAAGCGTGTCAGGATGTCTCCAAGATTTCCAAGCCTCAGCATCTATGCAAGCTGCATATAGACCCCCCCCCCCCTAGATGAGACTCCAAATTCCTACCTCAGCCTGCATCCCACTTCCCAAGCAGAAGACAACCCAGATAGCCCCACACCCCCTGAGCCTGGTATGCCTGAATCGATTCGGCTCTTTCAGATCCGTCCCATGAATTTCGGGTGCCTGTCTATTACGGCATGTTTGTGCTTCTGGGAAGCTCGGCGTTGTCTGCGGCCCCATGTCCGATGCCCCAAAACCCTTAATGAAAGAACCTCAACAGCCAGGAGTTGCCTTCTTCTCCCACCGTTTGGCGAAGTGTAGGGTTTGAAAGTTTACACTTCAGTTTCGGGTTTGGGGGGGTTCAGGGCCCCCGGTTTGCAGCTGAAGGCATGGTGGAGTTCCGTCGAGAAGATATCCTTAGTTGCCCTCTGCGGCGTGGTGAAGAGGCCGAGGATTCAGATTTGTTGCGGAAGGACCTTAACCCTAAACCCTAAACCTTAAACCCTAAACCCTAAACTCTAAACTCTAAACCCTAAACCCTAAACCCTGAATCTATCGGGTCTTCCGGGTTTACAAGCGTTCAGGGCTAGGGTTTTGGGGGGATCTGAGGTGTGCAGGTTTAGGCTGACAAAACTAAGCTGAGTGGCACCTCGGGGGGTCCTGGTCGGTCCTTTTTTATTGAAGCCTTAAAGCTCCAGGCCTTTTGGCGCTTCAGGGTTTAGGCCTAGGCGCTTTTAGGGCTCTTCTTCTACACCCTACACCGCTCACACGGGGCTTTGCGAACTCAGGGGCTGGGCTTTCCCTGATTAACAACCCTGGATATCCTCCTAGGGAGCGCAGTTTTGTGTGTGTGTGTGTCTGTCTGTCTGTCTGTCTGTCTGTCTGTCTGTCTGCCTGCCTGCCTTCCTGCCTGCCTGCCTGCCTGCCTGCCTGCCT